GATGAACCTGTGCAGGGCCAGGAGTTGGACTTGATGGTCCTTGTGGGTCCCTTCCAAGTGAGCACAGTCTGTGATAAGTGAAGGAAATGTAAAAATGACATTTCCTTTCTCTTCCCTCTAGCCTGTCTAGTAACAGAGGAGACTTCAGGAGAGACACTAGTTTTTATGGAATCCCGTGAAAGAGGGTTTCCTGAAAGTGGCTTTCCCATTTGGATCTTTATGATATATCACAGAGCAGCCATCACCAAGAGCAACCAGGTCACTGCAAATTTGCAGAGGCAAATCCTTTAAAAACTCAAGACAGCCGTCTGCAGAACCATCAGCTGGGTCATTTGCCCAGTTCCACCTGTACCAACAGGGCTCTGGGTTAGAGATGTCACATCCATCCTGCAAAACCTCAAAAAAACCTCAGAGTGCTCAGCTCCACAGTGCAAGAGCAGCCGAGCTCGGGGTCTGGTCAGGGAAATAACAGAGAAAAATGAGAGTGGTACAACACTGACATCCATGACAAGCACAGAGAGTGAGGAAAAATGCAGTGCCAGGGGTTAATTTCTCATAACTGGGCAAATTTAAGGATATAATAGATAGTTGTGTTTACAACAACCCCGGCTGTGCCCCTCCCTCATTACTTGCAAAACACTGGCCCAGTTCTCCAGCTCACACAGCTGCCCTGAGCTGAGGATGCTGCTGTGACTCACACACACCGAGATCACATTTCAGGGTATTTTTTTGAGTGGTTAAACACTCCTGACTCTCTCCATAAAGTGCCACTTTCCCACAGAGCACAGCACTGAACAAACCATCTCATTCCACTCTGGCTGTTTGGGGACGCACGTCCTCTGTTATGGTGTGGGGACAGTTTACCCCCCCCCCCCCCCCCCGGGATATTTTCTGTGCTAAAATAGAAATATAAAAAGCTTTCTCCTATTTAACTGCTTGTGTTTGACTCCATGCTGTAAAGAAAAAAAGCCAGGGATCCGCTCAGGTGAGCAGGGAGGGGACAAGGAATGAGTGGAATGGAGCTAAGCCATGCCAAGGGGCTGCTTTTTGGGGAGCTCTGGGACCCCCCTGCCCACCCTGAGCTCGGGACCTTGTGCTGCCCAGGGAAGCCTGGCAGGGTGGAACTCCTGTATCTGGGAACTTACACCATTCAGCAATGCCTGTTCTCCAGGGGGATGTCAGTCTTGAGGTAGAAACAGGGCAACAGGATCGCGGATTTTAACAGCAGCCCCAAAATCCTGGCTTAAAAACCATTCCATGGCTTGTCCACGCTGGGGGGGAGCACATGGAAGTCTGAACTAAGTTTTGGTTTGCAGAGGTAGAAAACACCCCTAAAAATATCCAGACCTGGCTTACAGAAAACAAGGACCAGGCCCACACTCAACCTCTCCATCTACACCATGCAAAGCGCCCAAATCTGCCATAGGTGCATTTGGGGTCCCCAGGGGACCCCAGGGCTCAGCAGCCTCACAGCAGAGGCCAAATTCATCTTGGTGAAACCCCTGAGCTCCTCAGACAAAAGGTTCTGCCCACTTTATTATTATTTAGAGACATTTTAATACTTTGAACAGACTGATAGAAGAGCTGCCATATTAAATTAGCTGCATTGAAATCCATCAGAGGGTTTTTCCAACAGATTCCTTCCCCAGCAGCAGGCTGAGCCTTCCTTCCAATAAGCAGGATAATGTTTCATGGTTTGCTGCCACTCTAGTACTTAAGATTTCAATTCTGTTGCTTTATTTGTAGCAAGTTAACTGCCATCAGCAGAAACAATTCTTCCTGAAATGATAACCACGTTACAGATGCCAAATCTAATAGCTCCATTACCCCAGATTACCTCCTGGAATTAAATAGAAGGGTAAATTGCTGTGGTTTTATACAGAGTATGAACAACCCAGTTCATCCCCTGCACTGGGAATAGATGTGGTGGGGCATGGGAATCTCTGAGTTCTCCAGTCAAAACCTGTTAGGTCTGTTAAAGGCACTCAGAGAACAGTTAAAAGCCAGAAAAAGAATCCAGGTGAAAGTTTCAGACAAATAAAACTTCATTTTTGACCAAATAATGGGGATCACTGGGAACTGGAAATGTCCCAAGAGCCCAGAACAGGAGCTGTGCCCTGAGAGAGCTGCTCTCGTTATTTTTTTATAGAATCCCAGAATGGTTTGGGTTGGAAGGGACCTTAAAACTCATTCAGTCCCACCCCCTGCCACGGGCAGGGACACCTTCCATCAGCCCAGGTGGCTCCAACCTGGCCTTGGACACTTCCAGGGATGGGGCAGCCACAGCTTCTCTGGGCAACCTGTGCCAGGGCCTGCCCACCTGATTCCTTCCCAGGATTCCTTCCCAGGACTTTGCAACATGACTTCAATTTACAGAGCAAAGAGTCAGTGATCCTTCCCCAAACACTCTTGGAAGCACAGCCCCGAGGCTGCCAGAGCTGCAGGAGGGTTTGGATGATCCTCTGGGGCACAGGGGGGGACTCTTGGGGCTGGGCCTGTGCAGGGCTGAGGGTTGGACTCCAGGATCCTTGGGGGTCCCTCCCAGCTCAGATATTCTGGAATTCTAATTGGGATTTAGCAACTTCACCTTCAACTTTTCCTCTTCTCCACTTTGCTGCACATCCTGTCTCAGCACAGGACACCACAAAGCTCCCAAGTGGCCCTTGGGTTCCTCAAGCAACACAAATGAAGTGCTTCATTCTCCTTTGTAACAATGCTCCCCATTAAATAAATGAGGAATCAAAGAGTGCTCGACAATTTAAATAAAAACACCATTTGATTTTGTAGTAAATCCTTCAAGAAGGTGGACGTTGACAAGAACAGATTGCTCATCC